CACACTCTCACCCACACCCTCACACACTCACCCACACTCTCACCCACACTCCCACACTCTCACCCACACTCTCACCCACACTCTCACCCACACTCTCACCCACACTCTCACCCACACTCTCACCCACACTCTCACCCACACTCTCACACTCTCACACACACTCTCACCCACACTCTCACACTCTCACACACACTCTCACCCACACCCTCACACTCTCACCCACACTCTCACCCACTCTCACACACTCACCCACACTCTCACACCCTCACACACACTCTCACACTCTCACACACACTCTCACAAACTCTCACCCACACTCTCACAAACTCTCACCCACACTCTCACCCAAACTCTCACCCACACTCTCACCCACACTCTCACACACACTCTCACCCACACTCTCACACTCTCACACACACTCTCACCCACACCCTCACACTCTCACACACACTCTCACCCACACTCTCACACTCTCACACACACTCTCACCCACACTCTCACACTCTCACACACACTCTCACCCACACCCTCACACTCTCACCCACACTCTCACCCACTCTCACACACTCACCCACACTCTCACACCCTCACACACACTCTCACACTCTCACACACACTCTCACAAACTCTCACCCACACTCTCACCCAAACTCTCACCCACACTATCACCCACTCACCCACACTCTCACACTCTCACACACACTATCACACTCTCACACTCTCACCCACACTCTCACACTCTCACCCACACCCTCACACTCTCACCCACGCTCTCACCCACACTCTCACACTCTCACCCACACTCTCACACACACTCTCACCCACACCCTCACACACTCACCCACACTCTCACCCACACTCCCACACTGTCACCCACACTCTCACCCACTCTCACCCACTCTCACACACTCAACCACACTCTCACACTCTCACCCACACTCTAACCCACACTCTCACACACACTCTCACACTCTCACCCACACTCTCACAAACTCTCACCCACACTCTCACCCACACTCTCACCCAAACTCTCACCCACACTATCACCCACACTCTCACCCACACTCTCACCCACACTCTCACCCACACTCTCACCCACACTCTCACACACTCACCCACACTCTCACACACACTCTCACCCACACTCTCACGCACACTCTCACACTCTCTCATACTCTCACCCACACTCTCACACACTCTCACACACTCTCTCACACTCTCACCCACACTCTCACACACACTCTCACAACCTCACACTCTCACCCACACTCTCACTCTCACCCACACTCTCACACACTCTCACACTCTCACACACACTCTCACAACCTCACACTCTCACCCACCCTCACACTCTCACCCACCCTCACACTCTCACCCACACTCTCACACTCTCACCCACACTCTCACACTCTCACCCACACTCTCACACACTCTCACACACTCACCCACACGCTCACACTCTCACACACACTCTCACACTCTCACACACACTCTCACACACTCACACACACTCTCACACACACTCTCACCCACACTCTCACCCACTCACACACACACTCTCCCCCACTCTCTTACACACACTCTCACACACTCTCACACACTCACCCACACTCTCACACACGCACACACACTCTCACACACACTCTCACCCACTCTCTTACACACACTCTCACCCACACACTCTCACCCACACTCTCACACTCTCACACACACTCTCACACACTCACCCACACTCTCACACTCTCACCCACACTCTCACACTCTCGCACACACTCTCACACACATTCTCACCCACACTCTCTCACACTCTCACACACACTCTCACACACTCACCCACACTCTCACACTCTCACCCACACTCACTCTCACCCACACTCTCACACTCTCACCCACACTCTCACACTCTCACACACACTCTCACACACATTCTCACCCACACTCTCTCAAACTCTCACACACACTCTCACACACTCACCCACACTCACCCACACTCTCACACTCTCACACACACTCTCACACACTCACCCACACTCTCACACTCTCACCCACACTCTCACACTCTCGCACACACTCTCACACACATTCTCACCCACACTCTCTCACACTCTCACACACACTCTCACACACTCACCCACACTCTCACACTCTCACCCACACTCTCACACTCTCACACACACTCTCACCCACACTCTCACACTCTCACCCACACTCTCACACTCTCACACACACTCTCACACACATTCTCACCCACACTCTCTCAAACTCTCACACACACTCTCACACACTCACCCACACTCTCACACACTCACCCACTCTCACACACTCACCCACACTCTCTCACACTCTCACCCACACACTCTCCCACACTCTCACCCACATTCTGCCACACTCTCACACACTTTCTCCCACACTCTCACCCACACTCTCACCCACACTCTCTCCCACACTCACACACTCAACAACAACAACCGCCATTCGCCACTAAGTGGCGGTGACGTCACCACGACGCTTGTGCCAGGCCATGTGCACCGGCAAAACAACCCCCTCCCTCCTCGCGGTGCCGGACGGGCAACACTGTCGTGGGCAGTGTTGTGGGGGGAGGGCCAATGCCCATTGGCCTCTCCCCTCATGGCGTCTGTGACCACCACAGTGGCTAAACGGGGGCTCTGGGCGGGTGCGAGGGGCTGGTAACCCCTCCACCTTCAATTCATTACCACGAAACCACGAGGTAAAAATGAATATGTAACTTGCCACACTCTCACACATACAAAGACAAAGGTCCCCTGCATAGTCTTAACGTACTGTCGTGGCAAGTGCTGTAAGAGAGCAGCTACGAATGCCGGCACCGCACACGAGGAGGCGATTGACCAGCACCACAACCGGTCGCCTTTGTCCCCCTAGTGACGATGTTCACACTCTGCACGAGCTGCTCTTTTGAGGCCGAGTCAACCTAGGAGAGGCCCGGGAGCGGCTTCTATAATCGTCACTGATGGTGTTGGCCGTGAGTGGGACTTGAACCCGGGTCGCCGGGTTCGTAGCGCAGCGCGCCAGCCACTGCACTACCGCTCCACACAACTCTCACACACACACAGTGGTACAGTGGTACAGTCACAAACTCACCCACTCTCTACCTCGTTCTCTGACTCTCTCTCTACCTCGTTCTCTACCTCTCTCTCTACCTCGTTCTCTACCTCTCTCTCTCTACCTCGTTCTCTGACTCTCTCTCTCTACCTCGTTCTCTGACTCTCTCTCTCTACCTCGTTCTCTACCTCTCTCTCTCTACCTCGTTCTCTGACTCTCTCTCTCTACCTCGTTCTCTGACTCTCTCTCTCTACCTCGTTCTCTACCTCTCTCTCTCTACCTCGTTCTCTGACTCTCTCTCTCTACCTCGTTCTCTACCTCTCTCTCTCTACCACGTTCTCTGACTCTCTCTCTCTACCTCGTTCTCTGACTCTCTCTCTCTACCTCGTTCTCTGACTCTCTCTCTCTACCTCGTTCTCTACCTCTCTCTCTCTACCTCGTTCTCTGACTCTCTCTCTCTCTACCTCGTTCTCTGACTCTCTCTCTACCTCGTTCTCTAACTCTCTCTCTCTACCTCGTTCTCTGACTCTCTCTCTCTACCTCGTTCTCTAACTCTCTCTACCTCGTTCTCTAATTCTCTCTCTCTCTACCTCGTTCTCTAACTCTCTCTCTCTCTACCTCGTTCTCTGACTCTCTCTACTCTCTCTCTACCTCGTTCTCTGACTCTCTCTACCTCGTTCTCTGACTCTCTCTCTCTACCTCGTTCTCTGACTCTCTCTCTACCTCGTCTCGACTCTCTCTCTACCTCGTTCTCTGACTCTCTACCTCGTTCTCTGACTCTCTCTCTCTACTCGTTCTCTAACTCTCTCTCTCTACCTCGTTCCTGACTCTCTACCTCGTTCTCTGACTCTCTCTCTACCTCGTTCTCTGACTCTCTACCTCGTTCTCTGACTCTCTCTCTCTACCTCGTTCTCTAACTCTCTCTCTCTACCTCGTTCTCTAACTCTCTCTCTACCTCGTTCTCTGACTCTCTCTCTCTCTACCTCGTTCTCTGACTCTCTCTCTCTACCTCGTTCTCTGACTCTCTCTCTCTACCTCGTTCTCTAACTCTCTCTCTCTACCTCGTTCTCTAACTCTCTCTCTCTACCTCGTTCTCTGACTCTCTCTCTATCTACCGTTCTCTGACTCTCTCTCTCTACCTCGTTCTCTGACTCTCTCTCTCTACCTCGTTCTCTAACTCTCTCTCTACCTCGTTCTCTAACTCTCTCTCTCTACCTCGTTCTCTAACTCTCTCTCTCTCTGCCTCTCTCTCTCTGCCTCTCTCTCGAGACGTCCAGCAGCAGCAGGCCACCAGCAAGGTGGTGCCCCCGGTGCGAGCGTCTCCACTGTGTGAGACGGCGCGTTCACTCTGCACTACCACGTGGTCTCGTGTCTACAGCTCCGCCAGATTGGCATGCGGCTGAAGCTCATCGCGCCAGAGGAGCGGATAGAGGAGGAGGAGGGGTGGATAGAGGAGGAGGAGGCAGAATGGATCGCACGCGAGATCGCTGCCGCAGCTGAAGTCGCGATCCACAAGTGACAACTTGTAGTAGAGGCGGGTGAGACGCTCAGGGCACACACGGCACAGCAACATCGCACGGCGCAGCACGGACTTGCTACGCGAGACGCGAACAACAACACGGCACACACAGCAGAAGCAGAAACACAAGAATGTACACAGAGTGCACAAACAGCTGATCCGGCAGGACTCACACTGGCGATTCTACAAGCACCTCGACAAGACAGCCTGAGGATGCTCCCACTCGACGTGGGCGTTTGTCTTCTAAGTCTGTCTCCCTCATTGTGAGCTGTAAGGTTCGTCTGTTAGGACGTCAGTAACGTGCAGTCATGTCTATAACCCTCTCTCGCTAACTCTAACTCTCTCACTGACTCACTCTGTCTCTAACTCTCTCTGTCCCCCCCCTCTCCGCGTGACTCACAAAGCGCAGCACGAGGCCCTGGCAGGCGTGGTGCTTGAGCAGGCTCAGCAGGAACTTGAGGCCTCCACAGTCCACGAAGGTCGTCACTGTGACCAGAGAGAGAGAATCAGACTCAGAGGTCTCTCCACTCCACACACCACGTGTACACGCACACACCACTCGTACACGCACACACCACGTGTACACGCACACACCACTCGTACACGCACACACCACTCGTACACGCACACACCACGTGTACACGCACACACCACGTGTACACGCACACACCACTCGTACACGCACACACCACTCGTACACGCACACACCACGTGTACACGCACACACCACGTGTACACGCACACACCACTCGTACACGCACACACCACGTGTACACGCACACACCACTCGTACACGCACACACCACTCGTACACGCACACACCACTCGTACACGCACACACCACTCGTACACGCACACACCACGTGTACACGCACACACCACTCGTACACGCACACACCACTCGTACACGCACACACCACGTGTACACGCACACACCACTCGTACACGCACACACCACTCGTACACGCACACACCACGTGTACACGCACACACCACTCGTACACGCACACACCACTCGTACACGCACACACCACGTGTACACGCACACACCACTCGTACACGCACACACCACTCGTACACGCACACACCACTCGTACACGCACACACCACTCGTACACGCACACACCACTCGTACACGCACACACCACTCGTACACGCACACACCACTCGTACACGCACACACCACGTGTATGTACAGTCGCCTCCCCGTTGTCACCGCCTGCTGCTGTCCAACCCGCTGCTCCGTCAACTCGACCCCAGGCCGCACTCTCTCACCACCCTCACCACCATCACTACCACCCTCACCACCATCACGACCACCCTCACATTCACCGTCACCACCATCACTACCACCCCCACCACCATCACTACCACCCTCACCACCCTCACATTCACCCTCACCACCCTCACATTCACCCTGACCACCATCACCACCACCTCCTCCTTCCCCGTGGTCTCACAGCGCTGGGCGCCCCTCACCTCCTCACCCCCTCAACTTCGCCCGCTCCCTGCGCCTCGCCAGCGGAGCCCGGCCCGACACGCGGCTGCTGTTGGTGATGGTGGTTGTAGTGGTAGTTATAGTAGTTAGGTAATGGTGGTTGTGGTAGTGGTTGTAGTGGTAGTTATAGTAGTTAGGTAGTGGTGGTTGTGGTAGTGGTTGTAGTGGTAGTTATAGTAGTTAGGTAATGGTGGTTGTGGTAGTGGTTGTAGTGGTAGTTAGGTAATGGTGGTTGTGGTAGTGGTTGTAGTAGTAGTTAGGTAATGGTGGTTGTGGTAGTGGTTGTAGTAGTAGTTATAGTAGTTAGGTAATGGTGGTTGTGGTAGTGGTGGTAGTGGTAGTTATAGTAGTTAGGTAATGGTGGTTGTGGTAGTGGTTGTAGTGGTAGTTAGGTAATGGTGGTTGTGGTAGTGGTTGTAGTAGTAGTTATAGTAGTTAGGTAATGGTGGTTGTGGTAGTGGTGGTAGTGGTAGTTATAGTAGTTAGGTAATGGTGGTTGTGGTTGTAGTGGTAGTTATAGTAGTTAGGTAATGGTGGTTGTGGTAGTGGTGGTAGTGGTAGTTATAGTAGTTAGGTAATGGTGGTTGTGGTTGTAGTGGTAGTTATAGTAGTTAGGTAATGGTGGTTGTGGTAGTGGTTGTAGTGGTAGTTATAGTAGTTAGGTAGTGGTGGTTGTGGTAGTGGTTGTAGTGGTAGTTATAGTAGTTAGGTAATGGTGGTTGTGGTAGTGGTTGTAGTGGTAGTTAGGTAATGGTGGTTGTGGTAGTGGTTGTAGTAGTAGTTAGGTAATGGTGGTTGTGGTAGTGGTTGTAGTAGTAGTTATAGTAGTTAGGTAATGGTGGTTGTGGTTGTAGTGGTAGTTATAGTAGTTAGGTAATGGTGGTTGTGGTAGTGGTGGTAGTGGTAGTTATAGTAGTTAGGTAATGGTGGTTGTGGTAGTGGTTGTAGTGGTAGTTAGGTAATGGTGGTTGTGGTAGTGGTTGTAGTAGTAGTTATAGTAGTTAGGTAATGGTGGTTGTGGTAGTGGTGGTAGTGGTAGTTATAGTAGTTAGGTAATGGTGGTTGTGGTTGTAGTGGTAGTTATAGTAGTTAGGTAATGGTGGTTGTGGTAGTGGTGGTAGTGGTAGTTATAGTAGTTAGGTAATGGTGGTTGTGGTTGTAGTGGTAGTTATAGTAGTTAGGTAATGGTGGTTGTGGTAGTGGTTGTAGTGGTAATTATAGTAGTTAGGTAGTGGTGGTTGTGGTTGTACTGGTAGTTATAGTAGCTAGGTAATGGTGGTTGTGGTTGTAGTGGTAGTTGTAGTAGTTAGGTAGTGGTGGTTGTGGTAGTGGTTGTAGTGGTAATTATAGTAGTTAGGTAGTGGTGGTTGTGGTTGTACTGGTAGTTATAGTAGCTAGGTAATGGTGGTTGTGGTTGTAGTGGTAGTTGTAGTAGTTAGGTAGTGGTGGTTGTGGTAGTGGTTGTAGTGGTAATTATAGTAGTTAGGTAGTGGTGGTTGTAGTAGTGGTTGTAGTGGTAATTATAGTAGTTAGGTAGTGGTGGTTGTGGTAGTGGTTGTAGTGGTAATTATAGTAGTTAGGTAGTGGTGGTTGTGGTAGTGGTTGTAGTGGTAATTATAGTAGTTAGGTAATGGTGGTTGTGGTAGTGGTTGTAGTGGTAGTTATAGTAGTTAGGTAGTGGTGGTTGTGGTAGTGGTTGTAGTGGTAATTATAGTAGTTAGGTAGTGGTGGTTGTGGTTGTGGTAGTAGTGGTAGTTATAGTAGTTAGGTAATGGTGGCTGCAGCTGCGCTGTGAACCCGACGATCCAAATTCGATTCCCGCTCACGGCCACCACCAGTGGCGATTATCTAAACCAGTCCTGGGCTTCCCCTAGGTCGACTCAGCTTGAAATGAGTACCTGATTCAAAGTGTAAACATCGCCTCTAGGGAGACAAAGGCGGTCGGGCGTGGTGCTGGCCACCAGAGGTGGGACAAAGTCATTGTTATGCAAGTCCAAGTCGAGTCTGAAGTCATCAAATTCATGACTCGAGTCTGACTCGAGTCCAAGTCACATGACTCGAGTCCACACCTCTGCTGGCCACCCACCCCATTGTGCACAGTGCCGCCCTTCATCAGTGCTCGCCAACAGCACTTGCCCCAAAGGCCTGCTGAGGCTACACGGGGGATCTTTGTCTTTGTTCACGTGTCCATGAATGAAGAGGAAGTGGAGGTGGTGAGTGAGGGGTGGTGAGTGGCTGAGTAAGAGGTGAGTGTTGAGTGAGTGGACACTGCACGGTGAGTGAGGGGGTGGTGAGTGAGGGGGTGGTGAGTGAGGGGTGGTGAGTGGCTGAGTAAGAGGTGAGTGTTGAGTGAAAGGGAGGAGAGAAGAAGGGGTGGAGGAGGGGGCTGAATGAGATGGGAGGGGTGAGCTGCTCAGTGGTGAGGGAGTTGAGTTTCGTGGTGAGGGTCAGGAGAGAGTGGATCAAGAGAGAGAGTGAATGGGAGTGAAGAGTGAGTTGAGTAGTTGTTGTCAGTGGTTGTTGTTGTGAGTGGTTGTTATGGTGGTTGTTATGGTTGTTGTGTTGTGAGTGGTTGTTGTGAGTGGTTGTTGTGAGTGGCTGTTGTTGTGAGTGGCTTTTGTTGTGAGATGTTGAGTGGTTGTTGTGAGTGGTTGTTGGTGTGAGTTGTTATTGTGAGATGTTATGAGTTGTTCTTGTTGTTGTGAGTGGTGGTTTTTATCATTGTGAGTGGTTGTTGTGATTGGTTCTTGTTGTGAGTGATTGTTTTGAGTGGTTTTTGTGAGTGGTTGTTGTTGTGAGAAGTGTTTGTTGTTGTTGTGATTTGTTGTTTTGTCGTGAGTGGTTGTTGTTGTGAGTGGTGGTTGTTGTGAGTGGTTGTTATTAAAGTGGGTGATGGTTGTTGTACTGGGTGGTTGTTGTTGTGAATTGCTGTCGTTATTGGTTGTTGTTGTGAGTGGTTGTTGTTGTGAATGGTTATTATTGTGAGTGGTTGTTTGTTGTTGTGAGTATTTGTTGTTGTGAGTGGTTATTGTTGTAGTGAGTGGTTGTTTGTTGTTGTGAGTATTTGTTGTTGTGAGTGGTTATTGTTGTAGTGAGTGGTTGTTGTTGTGAGTATTTGTTGTTGTGAGTGGTTATTGTTGTAGTGAGTGGTTGTTGTTGGGAGTGGTTGTTGTTGTGAGTGGTTGTTGTAGTGAGTGGTTGTTGTGAGTGGTTATTGTTGTAGTGAGTGGTTGTTGTTGTGAGTGGTTGTTGTTGTGAGTGGTTGTTGTAGTGAGTGGTTGTTGTGAGTGGTTGTTGTTGTGAGTGGTTGTTGTTGTGAGTGGTTATTGTTGTAGTGAGTGGTTGTTGTTGGGAGTGGTTGTTGTTGGGAGTGGTTGTTGTGAGTGGTTGTTGTTGTTGTGATGACTTGTGAATTGCTGTTGTGAGTGGTTGCTGTTGTTGGAAGTGGTTGTTGTTGTGAGTGGATGTTGCCGTTGGCCTGTTGAGGCTACACGGGGGATCTGTTTGTGGTTGCGTGTCCATGAACGTCCACGAATGAAGAGAAAGTGGAGATGAGTGAGTGGACACTGCACGGTGAGTGAGGTAGCAGGTGAGGGGGTGGTGAGTGAGGGGTGGTGAGTGGCTGAGTAAGAGGTGAGTGGCTGAGTAAGAGGGAGGGGAGAAGAAGCGTTTGAGGAGGGGGGGTGAATGAGATGGGAGGGGTGAGCTGCTCAGTGGTGAAGGCGAGTCTAGTAGGAGGGAGAGAGTGGATCGGCAGAGTGGATCGAGAGAGTGAGACGAGTCGTTGAGTGTTTGTTGTGAGTGGTTGTTGTTGTTGTGAGTGGTTGTTGTTGTTGTGAGTGGTTGTTGTTGTTTTGAGTGGTTGTTGTTGTTGTGAGTGGTTGTTGTTGTTTTGAGTGGTTGTTGTTGTGAGGATCATTCCCCAGTGGTCGTTCCAAGTGCACCGCGGCAGCCCCTGCGCTGCGCAGTGGTGACGAGGCCACCACCA